TGCATCAAAAACGTAACCCTAACTGCATCAAAAAAGTAATTCTAACGCACCTGGCTTTAACGTTCCCCCTAATTTGGTGAATCGGCAGACTGTAGTTCAAAAATAAAACGCAGTCACGTGATAATTTTGTAGCGCAAACCAATAAGGGTTCAAGATCAGGTGTAACGTTGCATGATCAGAAAAAATCAAAACAAACGTTCGCTTTGCCAAAAGTCGCTTATAATTTAATCCACTAACAAAAAAATTGCCTTGGGCAATTTTGCTATTATATCTCTACTTAATACCTAACCGTAGCATAACACCAACTCTAACTTTAACGAATTTCAAGAATTTTTATAGCTATCACGTGACTGCATTTTTTTCGGTGGCGATACTGGGGATTATAAATGATTGGATAATTTTTAATTCGCTTCGGATCCACAACAGCAAACTACACGTTTCTTTTTTTTGGTTTAAAAAAAAAAACCACCGTTACAATCAAAGCACCAAATAGGTTAACAAATAAATTTTGGTTTTTGCCCCACTTCCCACAAAAAAGAATGTGATGTAGTTCAAATTTGGATCACTGTTGGGGTCTAGGAGATCGTTCATATGACAGAGGTTATAGTTACATCTAACTACATAGATGCGTACACTTTATTTCTGCAAGTGATACAGACCCAAAAAATGATATTTTTCTATTTTTCCAAGATCAGGTGCAATCTTATCAAAGGCTTTTTCGATAACTCTATCTTTTGCGTTCTAATTAAAAAAAAATTCCTGGTCAAATAATTTTACTGTACAACATTTCTTGTCCCAACCCTAACCTCCTAACGCAAGTCAAATTTCACATGCTTTTTTAGCGAAAAATAACAACAAATACCGGTAAATGGCACGTGATTTGTATCACTTGCAGAAATAAGTTGATAAATCCAGGCAAATGGCGGCATTACAATATTATTTAAAGTACCGACCTTATCGTTTGACCTTACGTTTACAGTTTAATTTTACAACACGAACACAAATATAGATAAATATATATATGTATGCATAAGTCGGGATTTTTTTTTTTTTGTGTACAATTCTCGAGTGGGTAAAAAGCTAAGTTAATATATACATTCTAAAATACTGGTAGTAAGCAATGGACGTCCTTATAAAGTTTGTACGAGCAGATTATATCGGAGAAGCTGATCTCCAAAACTTGAAGCAATATAAGTACGGAGCGATAGATAAATCACCAATATCAAATTATGTACTGAAGCACTATTGGAATTGGGCAATTGAATTGTTTCCCAGGTGGATGGCGTAAGTTCTTTCTCAATGTCTTTTTTTCGGTTCTGTCATGAAATGCTAAGTAGTAATTGATCTGTTCAATTATTATATTTTTCATTCGTCAGTCCTAATTTGATAACTTTATGTGGATTAGGATTTGTGTTTATTAACGTCTTAACCGTTATCTATTGGATTAATGATTTAGTAGGACCTGGTCCAAAGTGGCTCTACTGGACGTAAATACTAAGCAAATTTCATTGATGTTTTGTATATTGGTTTTATTTTATTTTATTTATTGTTTTCTCTCATACATACAGTTTTCCACTAGGTTTGTGGTTATATTCAACATTTGACAACGTAGATGGCAAGCAAGCTCGGCGTACCGGAACTTCGTCACCTCTTGGCGAGCTATTTGATCACGGGTGTGATGCTCTTAATTGCTCCTTTGGCGCTGTGGTTCTTGCTGGCGCCTTAGGTTTAGGACATACTTATTATGCTGTTGCCTTCCTTCTCTTAATTATTATACCTTTTTATATGTCCACATGGGAAGAATATCACACTGGTGTGTTATATCT